CTCCGGTTCTCTACACTCACCATACGAAACACAGCAGCATTAAGCTATTTTACGCTGGTATTCTGTGAGAGCGTGGCCCTTCCCCGGTCGAGCAACCCATTCGTGCTACAACTATACTATTAATATAGCTGCAGCATGGCTCTACCACGTATAAAAATTATTCATTATTTTTGTCTTCTCAACCTAAAATCAAAGACGAAAGAAGAGACATTATGACATTGGTCCCTTGGGAGAGAGGTAAAGCCCTAATGTGGGATGCTACTTGCGTAGACACTTTGGCGGCCTCTCATCTCAGGGGTACCTCGTTTAGAGCTGGAGCGGCACCAGTGGCAGCTGAAGTAAGTGGCTCAAATACGAATCTCTGAGAGATGACTACATATTTGTGCCATTTGATGTAGAGGCTATCGATCCGTGGGGTCCACGTGCGGTGAAGTTCCTGAAGGAACTCTATCCGCGACCGGTCGTTGCTGCTGGTGATAAGAGGTCTGGTTGTTTTCTCGCTCAAAGGCTAAGTATAGCCATTCAGCGGGGAAACGTAGCCAGCGTTCTTGGCACGATACCTACCGCGGGGAGTAGGACTGTATGATAATTAAGTTTCTAGTTTTAGTTTTTTTTATTATAGTTTTTAATATTGTATATAATAAAATCAAACTATACTTTATTATTTTACTTTGCTCTGTAACAATTACAGCAGAACAGTAAATTAAAAATGGCAACATTCGTTTGCACAGACAAGCAATCTCTCACCCTACAGACACACCCCGTCGTGGGCAACAAGCTTTAAAATTAAAAATGTTGTACAACCGACTTCAATATAAATAAAATGAGAACATCATTAAGGGTAGTCGAAATCAATTAAATACGCATCATTAAAGATAACTCAAAAACTACTGGTCAGATCTTGATCAAAATTATATGGGACCACATGAGAAGCACCAGCTTTCAAATAAAAAAAGAATCATCGAAATCGGTTCACCTAGAATAAAATTCTGAGGAGTAATTTCTCTCTATCGGCTTTTTGTTACGACTGGTAAGATACCCGTGCGATGGTATTGGATAGTAGGTTTTCTTTCACTGCCAATTCTTTCTTTCTTCTTTCTTTCACTACTTTACAAAAAATGTAAAATTGTAGTTAAATTGCAAATAATAATAATGTAAGGTTAACCAAAAGGCAAAATTAGGTAGGTTTTATTAGGGTAAGAAAATATTGGGTCCGATTCTCTATTCATTAAATAAAAGTTATCTATCAAATAAGTTATAGGCCTTTTTTAAATGAATAAGGATGAAAAAAAGCACACAGTCTACCTGATAGTAAGTGGATGCTGTAGCCTATAGACGTCTACAGTTTATTCTCAATTAAGAATAAAAATCCAGACGCGTTGTCACCACTGAGAACTAAGATGGAATGCCTCGTTTCCAGTAAAAAGGGTCTCCGATTCTCTACACTTACCATACAAAACAGCAGCAGCATTGACCTGCTAATTTAGGCTGGTATTCTGTGAAAGAATAGTCCATTCCCGGTCGCGCCGATTCATTCGTGCTACAATCATTATATAGCTGCAGCATGACTCTACCACGTACAATCTGATTAAATTTAAGACAAATTTAAATATTTTATTCATACAGCTGTGCTTTTTATTAACTTTTATCTGGGGATTGAAAAATCGGTCCCCAGTTAAATAAAAACCATTATACAATTTTGGACCATGTTGCCGTAAAATTAATATACAATTTTAATTAATGGCGGTTATTTGCATTTCATTTTACTGATTTAATTTGGGCAATAGCTTTAACAAATAATATCATTTTTAACTAAAATATTTAACTATGCAGGTACACGTTAACTGCAGTTATTACAATTAAACAAGCAAAACAAGGCATAAATTAAAAGACAACAACCACTAATTTAATCAAATTATAGCCTACAAAATTTAAGCGACCTATTGCGACCTATCTTGAAATTGTTCGCGGTAAATTTCCCGCCCTGTCAAAACTCAATTTGTCAAGTCAAACATCATAATGGGGTGTTTCACCACCCAGATGGAATAAATTGTGCTAATTCCTACGCGGCAACATATAAGGCTTAAAGTTGAGTGTAAATTGCTCCGTTAGAAATAGGGATTTTTGTATCGATGAATGATGGAAATTATCGACAAGAAAGATATGACGTAGACTTAGTGTTAAAATTATTGCTGCCTACAAACCAAAGTCATGCAAAATAGAATTTAATCTTACTAGAGTATAGTATATAAGGATAATTTAAAATCGTCTTAAGTGCTGTAATGTCTTGATAGAAAAGACACAAAGTTATCTTTGTTTTTCCGACTGTTTCAGCATAAATTTGCTTTGTCACAATTTCCTCGTTCATCATCAAGCCACCGAAGCACCCAGGATTAAGAATGATCTTAATCCTGGGTCAGAACATCGTCTTGGAAGTCACGCTTTTCTTTTAATACACAATTTCTGATCACATCGTTCTGAATCACACATAATATATTTCAGCTAATTTCGATTTGTTATTCATTGTGATTAAGTGTATAATCATTGAAATCAAAAAGTAAATGTAGTTAATTTGTAATGTGTATACTCGTATTATGTGTATATTTATCATTATTACGTAATACATAATGTGTTACTTGGCTTAAGAACTTCTGAAATGTTGGAGTAGTACAGCTAAAACTAAACTTGAATGTTGATGTAAATTAAGAATAGTAACAGGTAGTACTTGATGTCAGTAATTGAAAAAAAAACCGGTAGCAAGATGAATAAAAAAAAATAACAACTGCAAGCAATCGCTTCAGTTTATCGATATTTAATATCCAACCCTATCCAGTATCATTGGGACGTTTAACGGGATGGGCAGGGCAGAGGATTAAATTGTGTAAATAGGGATTAGACAGATAAGCCGTCTTTTGTTTACAGTGACGGGTTGGCGCCGCACGACCCACAGATGCGTAACGGGACAGGCATTTTACGCGGCAATTTTTGCTCAAAACCATTCACGATTAGTGTCACCGGCAACGACAGCTTATGGAATTAAAAAAAGATAATAATGAATCAAAGTATGAAACTTTTTTTTAAAAGGGATTTAGAAAATATTGTGAGGATCTTGAAACTGGAGATATGGCAAAGTTTGGATTTTGGAAAGTCAAACATTCTATAATAATTTCCTAAATCAATACCTGTATATATTTACGTAACATGATAGCCTCTGTAACCATACCCACAGACAAAGTCTTATTACAACTACGCTTACAGTATGATTATTATATTATATTGATTTCGAAGATAATATCATAAAGCACGTCTCACTGATTGGTAGATCCAAATCGCTGGAACATTTATTATTGTCGGATGAAGTCTGAATTTCGATTTTTAAATCGATATTGATAACACTGTTCCAGCACTGGAATAGTGTTTTTCCATATATCCGAGTTGGTTTATGATTAAAAAACCGGACACTGAAATGGTTTGGACCACATAATCTTTATATATAAAAATTACGTGTCACGTTGTTTGTCCGGATGAACTCCTAAACTATTGAACTTATTTCAATGAAATTTTGCACACTGTGTGCAGTTTGCCCAACTTGAGAGATATACTTTTTATCCCGATAAGTGACCTTTAACATTTTTTATTGCGAATTTAAGGTTTTTTTTTATAGCAAGGAGCGTCGGAAAGGGCAGAACAACGTCTGCCTTGCCAGCTAGTATTTATATAAAAATTACGTGTCACATTGTTTGTCCGCGATGAATTCCGAAACCACTCAACCGATTATAATGAAATTTTGTAAATGTGTATTGCTTGCTCCAACTTAAGAGATATGAGTAGGATAGTTTTTATCCCGATAAGTGACCTTAATATTTTTATTGGGATATTCAAGAGTTTTTAAATGACAAAGGCCTGTCAGAAACGGCAGTCTGCCTGGCCAACTAGTATTTAATAATAATGAATTTTTATAGCAGTTTTAAAATAGATGAAAAGTTGTTAGCTATTCTCTCGAACCGAAGTTGTGGTGGTGTAAGGGAATCTATCATCCCATTCCGCCCCGTGGGAGTCGTAAGAGGCGACTATGGGAAATAACAGATCATCGTTTCCAAACGATGGTGGTATACCATTCAGTTTACACCAGACGTAAAATACGCAAACTGGCGACGGACAGCAGCGTCATGGGTGCGAGACGTTTAGTACTGCGAACAACAATCCAACTGTCAAGCGTGAAGATTAGCGTATATCCTTCGTAATGAGAGAGGTCCATGTCCAGCAGTAGACTTTTATGGGGTGATGATAAAGAAGAATATTCTCTCGTTGTTAGAACGTGGAAAGATTGTGTAATTTTGACGTGGTACAGCCATGCTGCAGCTGCATTATAATTGTAGCACGAATGGGTCACCTCGACCGAGGAAGAACCACATTCTCATAGAATAGACAGCGTAAAATAACAGATTAATGCTGTTGTGTTTCGTAGGGTGAGTGTAGAGAACCGGAGACCCGTTTTTCCTGGTAACGAGGCATTCCAGCTTAGTCCTCACGGGTGACAACGCATCTGCATTTTGATTCTTAATCGAGGATAGATGTAGATGTCTATAGGTCACAGCGCTTACCATCAGGTGGTCTATGTGCTACTTTGTCACACATAGGTACTCTAAAAAAATATGGCGCTGATATTAAAACAAGTCCCGTAAACAAATAGTACCCATGTGTACTTCACCGCAAAGATTAATTCATCGTAAGGATTCATCCATACATATGTATTTTTGCCTTATATTATTATTTTTACTTATTCTAGCTTCCAATGTTTACATATTTAGAATTAGTATGTAGTCTTTGTAGTATTTGTTTAAAATAAGTAAGAATTTACACATCAAACGAATTTATTATTTTTTTTAAAGGAGTTTCAATATGTATAATTAAAAATAAAACAATATAAATTTTCATACCTACGTCAATAAGAGGGATAAAGGTATATCTTCAATACTAACTATTGCTTATTACTCTAGGTCCAACTCATCAGGCAGCAGTATCAACTCGCCCCTGGGACCTGCGGCCTCTTGCGGCATGGCAGCGAACCCGTACGCAGTGCCCCTGTACGGGGGTGCTCCGGTGCAGGGTTACGGCTGCGCCCCCGCAGACCTGCCTCATTACGGAGACATGCGAGGTGCCAGCTGGTATCCCGCCTCCAACGACCCCAGGTTTGCCAGTGAGTCGGCGGAATGATTTATTACTTTTATATTTTTATTATCTATTTAAAAAGTTTAATCTTCATTACATTTAGGTATTACGAAATGTTATACAATCGTTAAGACATCGATATAGATGTAATCCCATCTCTTAACGAATCAATCATCACTAAACGGTTTTCTGTACTATGGCTAGTGTTTTTTTTTTTGAATATTGTTTTCATTACTATTATAGACGGCTCTGTAACACTGAGAACCGCGAGTTCGTAACATGCAGGGTAAAAGAATTTGTATTGCCTACAAATATTTGTTTCAGTTCTGGATGTTTATCCTTGTTAAATTTATGTATGTCAACAGTCTCCACGATACAGGAGAAAATCTTAGTGCGAGGTTAATTACTTTTTTTTTAAATATTTATTTTTAATTATCACAAGTGAACACCGAAAATTGTCGTATGTTTTCTTAGTATTTATTATATATGCAGGGGAATACAACTTATGCATGTCAAATGAAAAGAATTTCTCACAATATCTTAAATGTGATTTACCAATTAAATGGTTGAGTTTCGACACGACAGGATACTTGTTCTGAGAATTTTATGAGGATTATTAGGTAGGTGGGAATCAGAAGAAAGCTAAAGTTGAATTAAAAAAAAAACTATACTTTAAAAACATTCAAAATAGTAGAAATCCTATACTTCCTATAATGATTATACAATCTGCTATATATATATTTATCTAATCAAATAGCACTACTTACATCTCAAATTGCAATAATGAGTCAATTCTTATATAAATACCATTAAGACGACCGCAAAAACATTTAAAAAGGTAAAGTTAACGTGCCGTCTCCCTGCCACAGAGCATTTGTAACCCTAGACTAAGTTGCACAGATTATACAACCCAGAGTGCAAGCATTGAGTAATTATTGAAGGAATGAATTGTAACGCATCAATGCTTTATATTTTTCTTTTTTTTTTCAACTAACCAAAGTTATTAATAGTACTATATAAATAATTATAAATATAAATTATATAAATGGTATATTAGTAATGCATAATGTATAATATTTACCATTTTAATAGTACCTATGTCGTCGTGAATGAAAACCCAGATTAGATAGGGAGATAATATATCAATCACTCAATTTTAAATTTAGCCAAACAAATTGTTATGTATATCAAAGAAATTTCATAAAGTGAATGTAAAGTTTCAGTTTTATAGATAATAAATTAGATAAACCCATTATTATAATAGTTGGCATAGCACTTGTCTGCAGCGTCGCGTGCTGTTCACGGTCCCTGATGCCGTTTCCGCATTCTGCGCTGGTTTGAAACCGCTAGATTGTACAGATGTATCTGTACAATCTTTCGCTATAGTTTATTATTCCCAAATTCCATTGTATGGAAGATTACGACCGTTACATCTTTTCAACCTATTTGCATTACTACCTACGGTAAAATTTTAAATCCATCTGTAACTATGTCGATGACTCCCAGTAAGCAACAATTGACAGAACACTATTTAGGCGATCATTTGTGTGCTACTTGGTTCTTCGGTTTAATGATTTTCTTAGTTTTTAAGATCGCCAGATGCTTAATGCTTGCAGAAGGTCTCAAGGTCTTTAAAAATGCTAAAAGAGCTAATACCTGTCTGTTATTTGCTTTTTGTGTAAGATCCACTTAAAAAAAAATAAAAATAATGCATCAAATCTAGTTTGAAGAGCACCTCCCGCCCACTCTCAATTGCGTGCACTATCCTCGTCATTGTTAACCCCTACACCAATTCTCCCAAAATCACTACACTAGGAAATACCAACCACTGTCGATAATACTCTGAATTTACTCTGCAATGGTTAAGCACTAAGTTTTCTTACGCGTTCCTTCAGCTTGTTAACTCTTAAAATCTTTCATATAATGAAATTTTGTAAAGTAATGACTGATCATATTATTAACATTTTTGTTTGAAAATCCTCAATAATCACTTTCTCTAGGTGTGGTGTGTCAGCGCCGTTGACATTTAGGATTAACGTAAAGATCTACGTTGGAAAAGCGAATGCATTAAAGAATTTAAGATTGCAATTATATGGTAGTTTAAATTTTAATGGGCACATAACTGTATGCAAAGATGAGAATGTGATATGAGGTTTCATAATGAGATTTGCTTTACAATTCCGCGATGTTAGTGCGACAGATGGATATTTTCGTTCTTCGGTCATTGATTCATTACAGCCTATCAAAACTACACACTTGAACTTCAACATAGACCTGCCCCATAGATTGCCATAATGAGAGTATTTGCCATAGTTGCTTGACGCTTATCACGCGCGTTAGCCTTTTATGAATTTTGAGTTATTTTAAGGAAGATGTCGCATCCCGTCTCCTGTTTTATGGGGTGTTTAATTCCCTTACCCCGCCACTACACGGCACAAATGAAATATACATTATATTAAAATTTTACATTAAATAACATATTATTTATGATCTCATACATAAAGATGATCGGCTAATATAGCAAGCGGGATCTTTTTAGGCACTCCTCTTATATTTAAGGTTATTATAAATCCAGTGATAATTTGTCAAAATGCTCTACATTTTGACAAATTCTGTCAGCACCGCAAAAGAAAATTATTGTAATAGTTTTTTTACTCGTAGTAGTCAGATCATTAAAAATCGGGTGACCTCGCCATTATTATATATTTTTTTTATGAGATAAGGATGACAAACGAGCACACAGTCCACCTGATGGTAAGTGGTTGCTGCGGCCCATAGACATCCACATCTATCCTCGTTTGCGAATCAAAATGCAGATGCGTTGTCTCCCGTGAGGACTAAGATGGAATGCCTCACTTCCAGTAAAAAGGGCCTCCGGCCACCTGCCCTCACCAAGCGAAACGCAGAGGTAAACCTCTACTTCATGCTGATATTCTGTGAGGTCGTGGTACCACCCCGGATCGAGCCGGCCCATCCTTGCGACAGCAAAAGCTGCCGCGTGGCTCTACCACTGTTGATATTTTTTATTACATCGTAAATAAAATATTCTTTGCTAGCGTGAACTCTGTCAGTCACTCTTATAAAATAATTAGTATTAATAAAAATTACTAAGACTTAGTATAATTAGAAAATGACGTTTGACGAATGAGTTTAAATGTGAAATAACTATTTAAAAAATCAAAATAAAACAACACTGAAAATTAAGACATCATATTCTTGTTTCTTCTTTACCGACCTTTAGAAGTCCACTGCTGGAAATGGATATCTTCCGGTGTAGTGATGATTTACTTTAAACGTCACGCTTGAAAGCTACGAAGTTGCTGTTCTGCTGTTATGCTATTTGTTGCTGTTGAAAATCTACGTTTGTAATAATTTTCTCTTTTATAGAATTAAAAAACAAACTTTATTTTTTAATTTAAAATACAAAAATAATATGATTAAATAAACACTGATAAAAAAATTGCAACTACAAAAGTAGGTAGTACGTAATAAATAAATGAGTAGTGTCACATCTGTTTCAAAGCTATGGTTACTCATTGGAATGTAATTTGAGCCTGGAGCTGCTAAGTGTAGACAGGTGTACCTATATTGTTTTTTGATTTGAATACTCTTATAATACTAATTAATAAACAAAGCAGGTTTCATTACATTGTTAATGATATCTATGACAGGGTCGTGCAGATATATGTATTCGAGGTCGCGGGTGCAAATCCCACGCGGAAGAATTATTTTATTATTTTGTATGGCCTACAAATGATCGTTTTAGTTTGGGTGTTGGTGCATGAGTAAATTATTTACGATACAGAAGAAATTCCTATGGAGGTAATTTTAAAGAAATAAAATATACCTAAGCCTGTAAAAATCTTAGCCGCCAATACTGGCAATTCTTCATTAACACCAAACAGCTACACCGGCTAGATAACCAATGAGAACTGATATTTATTTATTTATTTGTTTAATTCTGAACAATACAAATTGTGTTGAATCATTTATGCAAAAATACAATTAAAATACTTAACAATCAAATTTACAATTATAAAAAAATACAATAAAAATATAATTTACAATCAATATTAAATTAAAATAATTATAACAGTTAATATAATAATTACATAATGAAAAATTACAATTAAGTATATAAAACTTACAATAAAAATTACAAGTCAAATCTCATCAGTGTAAATAAAATAAAGTATAAAATATCACAAAATAATAATAAAAATATTTGTCACAAAGAAAAATTACGATTATTTTTAATGTCATCAAAAATTTTAAAACATTGTAGGTTATATAACAGCATCAGCATGTAGAAATTCGTCAATATACTAGCTGGCCAGGCAGACGTTGTTCTGTCCTTTTAGACGACCCTTCATATAAAAAGTCCTTAAATTCGTTACCAAAAAATATTGAGTGTCACTTATAAGGATAAAAACTATCCTATCTCTCAAGTTGGACCAAACTACACAGAGTGTGCAAATTTCATTGAAATTAGTTTAGGAGTTCATCGCGGACAAACAACGCGACACGTAATTTTTATGTATAAAGATATATACAATATGTAACAAAAACCCTGTGGTTCCCGTTAGGTACGTTATCAGAATCATTATTCAAACGTATAGAATTAACTTTTCTTAAAAAACTCGAACAATATTTTTTTTATTTCATTTAAAAAATAATTGTATGCAAATTGTAGGTATGTGGTTTTATTACCTCTACATTGTCTGGGGAGTAAGAGGATTGTGAAAGTCCCCGCTTTACTTAGCTTTAGCATCGGCTAGTGTCAGTAAGAGGTAATAAAACCACATAAAATTAAAAAATATATATAAAATAAAAAAAAATATGGTCGAGTTTTTAAATAAAGTTATTTCTATATGTTTGAATACTGATCCTGATAACGTACTTAAGGCGCAGGTTGAGCAAAATGTCGCGCTAGTCGTTATTTGGGCGGTTTTTAGAAGCTATCTACTTTTTATTTAAAAGATATATCAACAAATAAAAAACACATTATATTTCTACATAATCTTGATT